TTTCAGCCTTAGAACAGATTACCTTGTTTTCCCATGCGAACTCAGCCCACATCGCCCTGAAAGCAGTATCAGAACAAACCGCTGGAGAGATATAGTCCATGATATCGATGTGTATATCGTTAAGGACCACGACATTTCTCTCCATGACATTTGAAGTCTCGTAAACAATGTTCCCAAATATGACCCCAGTCTCGGTAGATGACACCTTGATGTTGGATTTTATCTGCATCTCGGATTCGGGTGCCATAGTATAATTCTGTGGACGCTCGACCAGTTTGAGATCACCCATTGTCGCCAACTCCAAGCATAGATTCTGAAGTGTTTCCTTTGTACGGTTGATGACTGTAACTTCGAGGACGATGTCATAGTGATGAACCGTCACGTATGCTTCAGCATAAACTGGGTCACTGAATCCCGTGAGCTGAAGAACCCGATTCAGTTTGTTCCAATCGTTCTCGTCCTTTGTGAACTCTCCAGTGGCTCGTTTTAAATCGTCTTGGACCTGGTCTTCCAACTCGAGTTGGCTCATTCCCTAAAAGAAATTCATCCTCAGTAATTTAGATCTATAAGCCAACAGAAACATAAACAACAGAACTAGGGGTGGGAGTTTTAACACGAGAACTGGGATGGTATGTAATAGGATAAGAGCAAAATAACGTGTTTATTCCTGATATCTTAGTGTATTTACAGTATTATAAGTAGATTTTTGTGTAAAATTAATATGATACCCCTAAAGTCAACTCGAGTCGAAAAAAATTTGCAAATTTTTACGGGTTTGAGTACACGGGCTTGCAAAGCCGAGGCCAAGTACTCCCAAAAACTCGGGTACGCGACCTGCGCCCACCCCTAAGAAGAACCACGAGTTTTGTCGTCTTCACGACTATAAGGAATAGAATTTAATGTTTGGGATTTCTTTACCTTTCTGCTCTTCAGATGGAAGAAGTCGATGAGATCATCCGGTTGAGCATGGGATATCTGGGTCTTGGCCTTAAGTTCCTCGATTTCTCGAAGATGCTTATCGGAAAGCATTTTGACGAAACTCTGGCGGCAGGATTCAAGCCATACCTTTTTCATATCATCATGGTTCCTGTGGCAAAGCAGTTTAATGCACAGCGAAATCCTCTCATAAGAATCCCTATCGATCGGGTGAGGAGAAGCAGAAGATTGCCCGAGTTGCAACATAGAGACCATGATCAGTAAAGCCTGAGTGATTGCCTTGTTCACTTCAGATTTGGATGGCTGCACCTCCTCCAGTCTAAGAACAAGCTTCGTCAACGTGCAAGCAACTATGGCTCCCAAGAAAAAGTCCCCGGTTAAGAGAAGCGATCTCAGATTTCCTGCAGCCGAAGATCCTTGAACAATCTGGGTCTGGGAGAATGCTGCTTCAAAAGCTGCACTTTGGGTTGCATAAGTCCCATCGGCAAGAATGGCTGGTTTCCTAGTCGAAACCATAGCAGAGGAGGTTGGCTGAATCTTCGTCGAGGAATCAGATGACTCGGGTTCCTCGGAAACCGAGAAAAAAGGTAACTCACCGAGGCATTGCTTAATGGTTGCTATGCCACTCTCGACTTCTGAAAGTGATAGGCAATACTCCCCAATAATCCAAAGCGCACAAGGGCAGACTTTTCCAGTCTGAATCTGATAGAAAGTGTCCAAAAGCCTGGTTATGATCGAGACTCTTAATTTTGGATTAGTCTCTGTGATATCTTTAACGAAAACAACAACATCGAGAGCTGAAGCCACATTGCTGTCTCCCAAGAAATCCATCAAAACATGCACCACCGTGCTTGCAACTTCCGGGAACTTGATCGCGCAAGTGTGAATAGCTTGAATGAGCATTTGTCTATACTCTCCACTCTTCTCAAGCTCTCCACCTTGCGTCTTCATGACTTCTTTTTTTAACATTTGGACAACCTCGTTCACATTCCGAGGAGTAATCAGTTCGAGGGCAATGTCAAGTGTTTTCCTGCGGATGTCGAGATTTGGGCTGGAGAGTGCTCTGAGCACATCCATTACCAACTCAACCATAATATCTCTGTGAGAAGACTTAAGTTCATTCAGCCTATCAAGAACAATAAGCTTCACATTGTTGTCACTTTGAGAGAGAAGAAGCTGGCAGTAGGTGTTGGAAGCAGCTCTAATGGCAGTAGGGGCTGACGAGAGAGAGACGAGTGTCCCTGCACATTCATAGATTACCGCAGCAGAAGGGGCATTTAACAGAGCGATGATTATCTTAATATACTTCCCCTTTTCAGCTGGATTAGTCCTACAAACCTTCCCGATCAACTCCAGCACTACCATCTGAATCAATTCATTCCAATCAGAAACCCTATCGACATTGGAGAGAAGATAATTAACTGCTCGGTCCTGATCACAGTTAAAGAGCATAAGGAACGCATTTCTCTTGGCAGACGAATCCTGTTCCGTCGATAAAACTTTCTCGATCATTTCGGGTGCATCTACCAAGAGCTGATCACCGTTTGGAAGCTTATATATCGACATAATAGCCAGAATCGTGTTCCTACGAACAAATGGGTGGCGATGCTCCAGATTTTGCAACACCGAAGGAATCAGCGGCTCCATTATTTCAGTTTCATTCAACCGACAGAGGAACCTTAATGTTACCCCGCGGATGTACTCATTTGGATGCTGAAGGTTGTTCCTGAGGTTCTGACATATCAGAATCATTTCCGGCAGCACTTTCCCTTTAGCATCGGTTTTGTCGATGATCTCTAGATATAGCAGCAGTAGCTTTTGGATCGTGTGGTCCTCGGAAGGCAAAACATATCTGATAACAGTTATGAAAAGCTGAGGAAGGGTTTCACCATTCAGCAAGAACATAATCGCCTTTTTCAAGGCTTCGACTTTTGCAGGTATATCATTTCCTTCGAGGGCTTCTTTAATCTCGTTAGCAATTGCTGGAGTCCCTTTGTCATAGTGTATGAGCAAACTGCAAGATTTCTCCATCCTTTTCCTGTGTCGAATCACGGGTAAAAGATAAATCAAAGGAAGAAAGTAAAATGCTCAAGAAGACCAATATAAACAAAAAACAGAAGAATACATTTGCAAGCTTAGAAAATGGTGCAGAACACACAACTCGAACAGAAAAGAATCAGAAGAATTTCGCCATTGCTTTGGGGTATAGGAATCAACATATTGTTCAGAACGATACAATGCTGAAATATGGAACAAATCCATCTGAAAAATTGCAGTTACAAGCATATAACCCTCCATCAAGAACACAAATCGGAAATCTCTTAGCAAGCAATCCACTAAAGGTTTACAAGCGGTTCACTCATGGGTTGAAAAAATCTCGAAGGACATCTAACAAATGGTGGCAAGAAGTTTCTATTATTCTTATGTTCTGTATTATTATTCTTCCAGTATTACAGGAGGGGATCCTCCAAATCATCCAAACACCCATCGAATTCCTATCCGGCAGACCCATAACGAGATCCATAACCCGGGACCCTAACAAAATCAAACACTGCAATCAAAATCAAGCAGAAGAAGCAAACTATCTCAAGCCACTAATCCAAGACCAAGCCACAAGCTCACTGGTAACAACGACAACACAGAGATGCAAAGTTACACATATAAAACATTTGCACTGTGAGATATCAGATCCAGACAACTGAAAAAGCAGATCAAGCACCAAATCTCAGGCGAAGCATAACTTCAATCCACTCAGTAACATCCCTCGAAAAAATATACATATATATATATATATATATATTCCACCCGATGCCGTAAATTTCAAGTCCCCCTTCAGATTTAAAGCGTAATAAGCTTTTCGCTTCTCCTAATGGAATCAGATCAAAATAACAATGGCGGACGAGAAAAACTAAGTGACCCTCTAATCAGATCCCGTTCAACAGCCCGGAAAATCAACTATTCTGCTGTCTGCATTTTCACGGCGGTGAACCAGAACGGCGATACTGGATCGAATTCGATCAGCGTCCATCGAGAGATAGAGAGAGAGAAACCTCGAGCACGAGATCTAGGAAGAAGAAGCGACTCAGACAGTTGCAGAGCAGCAATTGAAGAGAGATTTGGATCTCGCCAAAAAGAGCACACGAGCGAAATGTAACAAATTAACAATGGCTGTTTCGTCTTTGCTCTTTGCAGTTGTATCATGTATCTATGCCTTAGGAGCTCGGCGTCGGGATTTTTTTTCTTCCAAAAAATAAATACCAATAAATGCAAATTTTATTTATTTCGATCACCTCTCTTTGAAAAAAAATCACAGCATTCTGATTTTTTAAAAATTGTTATAAATAAAATATATTTATGATACTTTTTATATTAGTTTATTGTTCATATATACGGTACTGTTTACACCGACGGCATATATGAACAGTAACTTCCGAATTTTTATAAATAGGGTATTTGGGTTCCTCCATTTGTACACTTTCAAGAGAGACTAATAAGAAATATATTCTTCTCCATTATCCTAAAATACAGTTTTCGGTTATAGTTAACGATCTAATATCAGGGTCGTTAATATTTTTTCCGATTTCATAACACGTTATCAGCACGAACGCTCTT